GATCGGGCCCAACGAACCCGAGGATGGCCCTGGAGTGCTGTCTGAAATCTTCTTTCCTTTTGAACCGATTCAGAAAGGTCCCGAGGTCCTTGAGAAAAACAGTTCCTGGATATTCAGGGTAGAGACCGCTCCGAGCCAGCTCATCTAGCACTTCTTGCTTCTGGTCGCTCAGCCTCCGGAACCTCTGGCCCCCGAGGCTCCCTTCTCCTCCTCCTTCACACTCGCCAGCGCTCCGCTCGGAGAGACTCCGGAGCTCATGGCAGACATCAGGGTGGCCAGCTTGAACATATCGTTCTCGCTGATCGACGTCGGCCTGGCCAACGCCTCCGATACGGCGCTCTCCGTCCACGCTCTCTGGTCGGCCATCATCTTGCGAAGGCCCTCGTAGGTCAGCTCGCTGGTCTTCTGCTGTCCCTCGATCACCTGGGCCATGTCGAACGGCGCGCGCTGCATCTCGGCCGTCATCGGCCGTTCTCCGGGAGTCCGCTGCCTGCTCTGAGTCTCTAGGGCCTCCGGGGGAGGCGCCTTCCTCGGGACGTAGCTGTGAGCCGCCGAGACCATCGGGATGCCCTGGGGGGGTGGTTTCGCCCGGGTGCGAGGTGGGGGTGGCCTGAGAGGATCTGGGGCCCAAGGGCCCCCGCCGTCGTACACCTTGATCCTCGGCTTCAGCTCGTACGTACTGGGCCCGGATCTTCTTCTCGCGATCCTTCTTGGCCTTCCTCTGGCGCTGCTCCTCCTTCTCCTCGGCCGTGAATGGGATGTAGCCCAGGGGCTCGTTGCGCGCCATGCACTTCGAGTACCTCCCGTGCTGGTTCACCCCGCTCCAGTGCGCATGAGCTGGGTGTGGGCACGAGTCTGGATCCTCTTTGTCGCGAATCATCGAGGGCATCACCGCGACTGCCAAGAACATCTGCGCGCGCGCGTGCAGGTTCCAGAAAATCCGGAGTCCGAAGCGCATCCACCTCCGAAGCCATACTGGGAGTACCTGGTACCCCTCGTAGAACCAGTCCTCCTCCTGAGCTGACATGGCCCCCAGGTTCAGCAAATTCTCGAGGTTCTCGCTGATCTGCTTGTTCTCGGGAAGCTCCTTCCACCCGCCCATCTCGGCGTCGGCGGCTCCCGCCTGGAATGCCGCCGAGGCGCGCTCCCTCGGCATGGTCAGGTCGATACCCCCTTTCTTGAGGAACTTGTTGGCCGCCCTGACCTTCTGGGAGGTCGGCTTGACGGACTTGGAGCCAATCCCGGGCGACATCCCGCACAGATCGAGTCGACGCTGTCTCCTCAACAAAGCTTCTATATACCTCCCTCAGGGCCTTGAGCCGAGGTCTCCGGACGAGCTACGCTGGGCCCGCTATCTCCTAGACCCTGGGATCTCGGGGGCCCAGGAGGAGGCGAACGAGAGGAGACTGCGCCAGACACTAAACCTACTCTCTGCAGACTGACTGAAGCATCCCTGCCTCCCCCCTCACTGGCGGCGCGCGGGTCCTGAAGGAACCTGCTCAAGGGCATCTTGGCCTGCAGCTCGGGAGCCAGCTTGAACTCCGAGGGGGCCATCTGGACCAGGTCGACCGAGCGATGCCCGGAGGGGTGCTGAAAGAGATCGAAGCGGCGCGATCTGCCCGCGACTTGGACCACGAGAGAGTCCTCGGCCACGTCGATGACTGCCTTGAGACCCGTCAACAACAACTTGGCTGGGAGAAGCGGCGGACAAGGGCCCTCGAGGATCAAGAACTCTACGATGCCGCATCCTCCGATCGTTACTGGTACATATGCTCGGCCGACTGGAGTAGCCTGGCCTCCCACTCCGGACGCCTTGACCCCTGAAACCGGCGTCCAGTCAAAGAAGACCTTGAATCCTCGAGAACGGAGGGCCTCGTCCAAAATCTCAATCTCGCGGCGGCCCACCAGGGCCTGGCCGGCGGCTGTGTCCACCAAAACGTGCGACCCTAGGTTCTTCATGGAAACGGAAGCCCAGCTCCAGATCACTTCAGTCACGTTTGAGTCGCCTCCGAGGACCTCCAAGACACCCGAGAAGTCGTCGTCGTCGTTGGTGAAGAAATACGTGAAACCGCTGACATTCTGAGAAACACCCGATTTCGTCTCCCTGGCCAACCTGTCGGCCTTGCTCACAAACGGATTTTTGCACTGGTCGGCCCAGTGACCGCGCTCCCCGCAATTTTCACACCGTAATTTTTCCCAGGTCCTGATCTCCAACACGCTTGAATCCAGGTCGACTTGGCCTCTGGTTCCCCCTGCGCTCGAAGAAGTCACGGTCCGTCTTTTTAGCCAACTTTAGCTTCCGAGATCCCGTCCATGTTCGACGTTTTTCTTTGCCGAACTTTTCCTCCAAGACTGCTCCGAAAACTTCGACCACCTCGTCTTCGTCCAGGTCCTGGGATTCTATAGCACTCAAAAATGCACTGGCGTCTTCTTCCGGGAAATCCACATCATCGTCGTCCTCGTAGGGGTCCGGGGGGGACGGCGTCGGAAACGAACTCGAGGAAGAGGGCTGACTCTCCATCACGTAGGCCTTAGCGATCTGGGGGGGCGACGCTGGCAGAATCTGCTTCTCGGACACGTCCAGCTGCAACAGGGCCGTGCGAATGGAGCTTGAATCAACTCTCCCGCCTGCAAGCGTCCTCATGTTAATTTTGTTATGCGGGGTCAGCTGTGCTCACTCCTCGAGATAGCGTGCTTTCACATTGTCTGGCAAGCTGAGGCCTCGAGACTCCGCATCCGAGAGCTGCGCGTCCCTTCTTAGAACGTAGTCCGTGATCGACTCCCCACGGCATATCATGTAGTCAAACAGTGCGTGACTGTGCGACAACCGATCCCTGCAACCAGGGCGCTCTCCATTCAAGATGCACAAATGCGAAATCAACCCCTCGATTCCCTGGTCATCGTTCAGGCTGGCCCGCACTGGCTTGAACTTCAATTGAATCTCTATCGGTAGTGACTCGATGACACGAGCCGCCTGCGCATCTGCCTGGTGTCCGGTCCGTCTAGACCATGCTTTCAAGTTCTCGCCGTAGAGCTCTAAATGCTCGAACCCGAGCCACGAACGGGGAGGACCAAAATCTTTGGAGCGGGCCGTGTAGGACGAGGAACTCCAGCTAGCCCACTTCCAGTCAGAGGCTCCCCAGTTGTCCCAAGAGGCGCCCCAGTCCTGTCGCCACTGCTCCCGCTCCCAGTCCTCCCACTGTCGTTCTTCCGTGGTTGCTGCCACTGGTACATCATCATCATATCCTTCCTGCTGTTCTCCTTCTGGTGCTGGCATGGTGTCGGCGGAGGCGGTGCTCGTCACCTGCTCGCGTCAGAGAGCCCCTCTGAGGACTGTCACGATCTTCTCCACTGCAGCGTCTCGCTCACCTGCCGCTCCGCTTACCACTGTCACAGGATAAGGGAGAAGATGTGGCGCCAAGAAGAAGCGGTGGTGATACAACGTGTTTTATCTCTGAGCACAGACCCTCCAGAGGCGAGTCCTCGGACTCGCGCCCCAAGCCTAAAAGGCTGCAGGATACGAAGAGGGGGGACGAGGGGGGAAAGGGGTGAGTCCCTGTAGGGCCACAGGGGGACAGGCTGAGGCTGAGGCTGAGGCTGATGCAGGCTGAGGCTGAGGCAGCCTGAGGCTGAGGCCGAGGCTGAAGGCAGACTGAGGCTGAGGCTGAAGCAGGCTGAGGCTGAGGCTGAAGCAGGCTGAGGCTGAGACTGAGGCAGGCTGAGGCTGAGGCAGGCTGAGGCTGAGGCTGAGGCTGATGCCAGGCTGCGCTGAGGCAGGCTGAGGCTGAGGCCGAGCTGAGGCAGACTGAGGCTGAGGCTGAAGGCAGACTGAGGCTGAGGCTGAAGCAGGCTGAGGCTGAGGCTGAGGCAGGCTGAGGCTGAGGCTGAGGCAGGCTGATGCTGAGGCAGGCTGAGGCTGAGGCTGAGGCTGATGCAGGCTGAGGCTGAGGCAGGCTGAGGCTGAGGCCGAGGCTGAAGGCAGACTGAGGCTGAGGCTGAAGCAGGCTGAGGCTGAGGCTGAGGCAGGCTGAGGCTGAGGCTGAGGCAGGCTGATGCTGAGGCAGGCTGAGGCTGAGGAGGCTGAGGCTGAGGCTGCAGGCTGAGGCTGAGGCAGGCTGAGGCTGAGGCCGAGGCTGAAGGCAGACTGAGGCTGAGGCTGAAGCAGGCTGAGGCTGAGGCAGGCTGAGGCAGGCTGAGGCTGAGGCTGAGGCAGGCTGATGCTGAGGCAGGCTGAGGCTGAGGCTGAGGCTGATGCAGGCTGAGGCTGAGGCAGGCTGAGGCTGAGGCCGAGGCCGAAGGCAGACTGAGGCTGAGGCTGGCAGGCTGAGGCTGAGGCTGAGGCTGAGGTGAGGCTGAGGCTGAGATGCTGAGGCTGAGGCTGGCTGAGGCTGATGCAGGCTGAGGCTGAGGCAGGCTGAGGCTGAGGTGAGGCTGAAGGCAGACTGATGCTGAGGCTGAAGCAGGCTGAGGCTGAGGCTGAGGAGGCTGAGGCTGAGGCTGGCTGAGGCTGAGGCTGAGGCAGGCTGAGGCTGAGGCTGTGACTGCGACTGCCGTTGCCACTGCGACTGTCATCGCGAATGCGACTACGACTGCGAGAACAGCAGAATTCTACAACTGGATTCTCATCTGACTCTCAAGGGGAATGCTTCCAGATATGCTCCTACACATCGCTGTCAGGTTGCTCTGCCGGGATAATCTTCCCCTGTTCTTTCACGGTCCCTGGGGCCGGTCAGGGCCCCCAGAGGCCGGAAACTGCCAAAAACCTCGCGTCGTGACTCTTGTCATCGGGGGGCGGAAAGATACGGATACGTGTTGTCCCCGGACCTCTCTTGGGGTGCGTTCTGACCAGAATTTCGAGGCGAATCCAGCGGTGACAACGAGGATTCCCCAGGAGGACCAGGAAAGGCCGAAAACGAAGGGGGACAACACGTATCCGTATCTTTTTCTCCCCCGATTGTCAGTTCCCGAGGGGGTCTGAGGGCCCTGGCCCCTCGCCCCTCCAGCGGCCAGCAGCGGCGGCGGCCCCCGGCAGCCATTGGCGCCCGCGGCTGTCTGCGGGGGTGTGCGCCTCACCTCGGCGCCCTCCCTGCGCCCGCCGACCCCTCGCGCTGCCCCTCCCCCGCCCCCCCCCCCCCCCCCCCCCCGACGAGGGAGGAGAGAGGAGGAAGGAGGAGGAGGAGGAGGAGGAGGAGGAGGAGGAGGAGGAGGGGAGGCAGGAGGAGGAGGAGGAGGAGGAGGAGGAGGAGGGAGGTAGAGGAGGAGGAGGAGGGGAGGAGGAGGAGGAGGGATGAGGAGGAGGAGGGGGGGGGAGGAGCAGGAGGGGGGGGAGAGCAGAGGAGGGAGAAGGAGGAGGGAGGAGGGAGGAAGGAGGGGGGAGGAGGAGGAGGAACGCCATCTCTCCCCCCCATCGCCCACAGCCCCCACGCCTTCCGTCACATCCCTCCTCCCCTCTCTTAGCTCCGCATGGAAGTCAAGACCTTGCCTCGGACCTTCTGTCTGCCTTAGGCAACGAAGCACGAGCGAACGGGAAGGGCAGGCCCCCCCCCCAAAAAAAAAACGTCGGCCTGAGGCTCTCGACCAGCCAGGAGGCGGCCCAGGGCTATCCGACCCAGGCGAACAGAGTCCTGACTCCTCCTCCTCCTCCTCCTCCTCCTCCTCCTCCTCCTCCTCCTCCTCCTCTTCCTCCACCTCCCCTCGACCAAACAACAAACGACACCCCACCTACGGCCCGCCATGTTGCGCTGCGGCCCATCGGGGGCCGAAGCGCACACCGTGCAAACACCCACGCCCGATGTCTTGGGATACGCTAAGCCCCCTGGGGCCGCAGGTGGGGTAGGGCCGTTTCTTCCTCCCCTCGCTCTTCATGCCCTCACCATCCGTTTGCTCCTGGTTGCTCGTAGTCTTCATCCCCCTGCGCCTTCGTAGTCAGATTCCTACCTTATGCACGCTGAGGCGTGTTAGAGCCTGGGCCGTCGCGGGAACGGAAAGAGCGCTTCAGCAGCTCGCTCGAGAGGGCTCATGGCACCGTTTGCTCTTGGGGACCTTGGCGCGGAACTCTGTTTCACATCACCATTCGCTCTTGCAGGCGTTGACGTGAAGAGCTTCTTCACATCATCGTTCGCTCTTGGGAGCCTTGGCGATAAGAGCTTGCCACGTCACCGTTCTCTCGTGGGGGCCTTTCTGTGAAGAGCTGTGTACGCCACCGCTCACTCTTTTGAAGCCTTGGAACTGAAAGCTATTCACGTAACCGCTCGCTCTTGGGAGCCTTGGCGCTGAGAACTGTCCACGTCACCTTTCGCTGTTGGGAACCTGCGCGTTCAGAATTATCTGGCCTCTGGCCTAACCCGGAGAAGCAATTAAGGAACCCCCCGGCGTTATCATTAGCACCGCGCCGTAATTAAATAATTATGTGGGGGGGTTTTCGCCGAGCGATATTATTAGCACCGCGCAAATGGAAGGAAAATAAATAATTCCAGCGCCCCGCCTCGGGTGGCATCCCAATTAGAATTGTAATGAGAATAAGAATGCGAATACGAATAAGGAAAAGCTGAGAAAAGCTAAGGAAAAGCTTCCGGGTGCCAGGATAACGCTTCCGGGTGCCGGGTGCGTTATCCTTTCACCGGAGAGGGGGGGGGGGTCCTTAATCGCTTACTCGGGTTACTGCTCGCTCTTGTGCCCCTCGGCGTTCGACAGTATTTGCGTCACCCACTCGTGCGCTAAGGGCTTTCTGGTCCCCTGGTGCTCTTGGGAGCCCTGGCGTCAAAGCTGCGTTCGTCTCATTTGGCCGTCCAAGGGGGGGTCCCCTGGGGGCTCTTCGGGGCGTCTCCGGACTCTCTTGGGCCGTTCTGGGGGGACCTTTTGGGCCGTCTCGGGGGGCTTGGCCCGTCTTGGGGCTCTCTTGGGGTTCTCTTGGTGCTCTCTGGGGGGCCTCTTGGAGCCCTCTTGGGCCCCAAGAGGCCGCGTTGCGGCTCTCTGTGGCCGTCCTGGGGCCCTCTTGTGCCGTCGTGGGGATCTCTTTGGAGCCTCCTGGGCCGTCTTGGGATAGCCACGGAGGCTCGACAATGCGAGAGCCCGAAAAACAACTTAGACACGAAGGAACATCAATGTAGTTTGTCTCCTCAGGCCGTCTCGGGGGTCCTCTCGGGAGGCTCGTGGGCCGTCCTCGGAGGCTCTGGAGCCATCTTGGGGGGCTCGGTTCGGCTCGGGGCCCTCTTGGGTCCTCTTTGGGGCCTCCTGGCACTCGTGGGCCTTCCTGGGACCTCTTGCGGCCCTCTTCTCCGCTCTCGAGGCTCTCCGTGGCCGTCCTGGGGGCCTCTTGGGCCGTCCTGGGGCCCCCTCGGGAGCCTCCTCGGCCGCGTTGCGGTCGCCGCGGAGGTCCACGGAACCGTCGTCGCCGATCTGGGCCCGAAGAGGCGGGCACCCCAAAAACAATGGAACACGTGTGGGACATCATTCTTTTTGCCTCCCCAGGCCGTCCAGGGGGTCTTCTGGGGAGGCTCTTGGCCGTCGTAGGAGCTTCGTGGGCCGTCTTTGCGAGCTTGGGCCGTCTTCGAGTCCTCTCCTAGGGCGCTCTTGGTGCTCTCTTGGGAGCCTCTGAGGCCCCTCAGGGGGGCCTCTTGGGGCCATCTTGGGCTGTCTTGGGCCGCCTTGGGGCCCTCTCAGGGGGCCTCTTCGGCTGTCTTCGGGCGATATTTTGAGCCTATTGGGCTATTCTTCGCAAATCAATGTTTTGGCGTCCTGGAAACTTTTCGGGAGCCTTCTGGAGGGCTTGTTGGTCAGTCTCGGGGCCCTCTGGGACTCTGGGACCTTCCTGAAGCCATTCTGAACCATCTTCGAACGGTCTTGGGCGGCCTTAGACTCTCTCGAAGCGCTCTCGGGCTGTCTTGGAGCCGTCGAGGACCTCTCTAGGGCCGTCTTGGGAGAATTGGAGGCCGTTCTGGGGGCCTCGTGGGCCGTCTTGGGACAGGGCGGGCGTGCTACGCCGGCGCGTCCGCGCTTCGCCCCTCCCCTGGACCCCCTCCCACTTCATCGCTCGTACCTCCCTCTGTCCGTCACCTGGGCTGGTACGGGAGCGGGAAAGATCGCTTCAGGAGCTTGCCTTGGCGTGAAACGCGTTTTCACGTCAACGTTCACTCTTGGGAGCCTTGGTGTGAAGAGCTGCCTCGCGTCATCGTTCGCTCTTGGGAGACGCGGCGCTCAAAACTGCTTACGCCGCCAACTGGCCTGAACATGTGCTTCCCGCAATTGGAGCTCTTGGGAGCCGTGGCGTCAAAGCTGTGTCCGTCACTGGGCCGTCTGCGAGCAATTTTCAAAGACTCCTCTCATCAAACACCGTTCTGGACACGGTTTTCAAGGACTCCTCCCACAAAATAGGCGGTGGAAATCTATCAATTGGGCCTCTCGGGGCCTTCCTTTTGGGGCCCCTTTGGGCCGTCTTGACATCCTCTTGGGCCGTCCTGGGGCCACTTGGGGCCGTCTTGCGGGGCTTGACCGTCTTGGAGCCCTCGTGGGGCCTTCTTGGGCCTTCTTGGGCCCTCTTGAAACTCAATTGGGAGCTCTCTTGGGGCTCTCTTGGGGGCCTTTTGGGCAATTTTGGGATCCTTTTTGGAGCGTCTCGGAACTATTTTTGGCACCTCTTGGGCGGTCTCGGGCCGTCGGAAATCCGAAAAAGCGGAAATCATCAAGACCATCAGAAATTCAAGATTTGTAGCCCCCTGAGGCCTTCTCGGGGGTCGTCTTGGAGACCTCTCGGATCGTCTCGAGGACACCTTGGGCCAATTTGGAGTGCTCTTGGTCGGTCTTGGGCTCTCTTGGAGCGCCTTGGGCTCTCCTGGAGCGCTCTTGGGCCGCCTTGAAGCCCTCTTGGACCTCTCCTCCTCCTCCTCCTCCTCCTCCTCCTCCTCCTCTCCTCCTCCTCCTCCTCCTGCCCCCGGCGTGGGCCTGGCACCTAGTTTCATGGTGGCCAGTACTTCACTCGCCGCGGGGCACACTGTCAGGAGTTTGCGAGTATGGGCCCGGCGTAGGAAGGCGGTCGTCATTTTCGGCGGACAAGGATGAGCTTGGCTCCTCTGCATCCGCGTGCAGTGGGTCCGAACCATGGCCAACTGCAGCGGCACCAGATGCATGAAAGGATCGCACATTTCCGCGGAGCGGCGGAGCCACGTGGCTCGTGAGACCCATGGGACCTTCGGGTCTAGTCTTATGTCGGGCGTGCCCCCCCCTACAGGGGGATTTTCTACGAAAAATAAAAAATACCCCAAAAATACTCCAAAAGGATCAAACAATACCGGAAAGAAGTCCCTGGACTATTTCTGGAGTATTGTTTGGGGACTAGTTTAAAGTATGTTTTATTTTTCGTCGAAAATCCCCCTGTAGGGGGACACGCCCGACATAAGTCTACTCCTGGGCGGCGTTCCCTAAGGCGAGGCAGGGCCCCAGGGGAATCCCGTTGGCGCGTGCCCGTCGGCTGGCACCCCTATACTGGCCCTGCGCTCGTGTGCATGAGCAAACGGCTTAAAACCGTTGGCAGGTGAACAAGGCCAGCGCAGCCCCCCGCGGAGTCGGGTGAACAATGGGCTTGCGGGGGTCCCGTCGGCGGGGCAGCGAGTCGCTAGGCGACAAGCCCATGCCTAGCGCCAGAGTCTACACGCCGAGCGGGGCTTGTCGTGTCTACCGCGGCATGACTTCTGCGCGCTTCAGCTCCTCCTTCCTCCTCCCCCTCCTCCCCCTCCCCCTCCTCCTCCTCCTCCCCCTCCCCCTCCCCCTCCTCCTCCTCCTCCTCCTCCTCCTCCTCCTCCTCCTCTCCTCCTCCTCCTCCTCCTCCGTAGCCATTTTGGCTCAAGATGCTTGTTCCACAGGGGAACACGTGGATACCGCTAGTCCGCGGCAGTCTTCAGCGATTTTGTGAGCTCCTGCTGGAGCAACACCTGTGAGCTCCTGCAGGAGCATCAGATGGGCGGTGGAAGCAAGGACGCGTTCACCACGTGCACGGGCTGCGGCAACTGGGCGTGGAATTGGCGCCTCAAGCGACAGAAGGGTGCCTGCGCCATCTGTGGCACGCAGATGCCTGGGTGGACTTCCTCGGCGAACGGCACGTGGTACGCCCCGTGGTGGGGGGGGCAGTCTGCTTGGCCCAAGCTTCCCTCCGCGCCGACGTTGGACGACTACATGGCCAAGGCGTTGCAGTCTGCTGGCCTGGGCGCGGATCCCGAGGCGGCGCAGCTGGCGACGCAGCTCGGGGCCTTGGCGGCGGCAAAGAAGCCTGCTGTCGCGCCCAAGCCAGCCTACTCGGTGCTCAAGGCGGCCACGGCGGAGTGCTCCCGCAAGAAGGACGCCTTGGACAAGGCTGCGCGTGCCGTCGAGAGCGCCAAGCAGCAGCTGGCGAAGGCGACCGCGGCCTGGGAGAAGGCCACTGATGAGATGGTGGAGGCGGAGTGCGCGCGCCTGCAGGCCCAGGAGCGCGTCGACACGCCCCCTGACAAGCCCGACGGCATCACGCTCAAGGTCGACCCCGCCTTGTTCGCGGCGCTGGACGAGCTGGAGGAGTCGGACAGGACGGCGCTGGAGAACTTCCAGAAGCAGCTGGATGAGATCTCTAAGCAGGCGTCGGAGAAGCAGAAGGAGTTCCAGCTGTTGCTGGACCAGGCGAAGAACGCCCACAAGGAGGCTGCCACCAAGCGGCGTCGTCGTGACGAGGATGGTGGTGCAGTCCGCGGTGACGGAGACGGCGGAGGCGTCCCTCCCGCGGCCGCTGCAGGCCCAGGCGGCGCCACTGCGGCAGCCAGCCAGGGCAGCGCGGCCGCGCCCGCCGTCTCCGACGCGGTGCGCAGGGACATGCGCGCCAAGTTCCAGGACAACTCGAGGGTCCAGGCGGAGGCGGCAACCCGTGCCAAGGCTGCTGCCAAGCCTGGTGGCCAAGGTGCTGATGCTGCCCCTCCTGCTGCTGGGGCCGCGGGCTCCTAGCAGGGAGGCGCCGCGCCCCTGGCAGCGGGGCGAAGCGCTGCTGGCTTCTGAAGACTACCTGATCCTGAGGATGACTCGCTGTCCATCCTCTTCGGCAACATCACGGAGTGGGGGCCGCAAGCTGCGCGATTCTTGTCTCAGGAGTCGGCGCGCAGCGTGGTGGCCTTCTGCGAGACACACAAAGGACCAGATGATATGCCCGACATCCGTTCGGGCTTGGACAAGGATGGCTGGAGGGTCACCCACACGGCTGCTCGGCCATCGGGCAAGTCGGAGACGGGCCTCTCTGGCGGTGAGTGGATATTGACAAAGAAGCACATCGCTGCGACGAGCTTTGAGAGTGTTCGCCGCGCGTCGCTGGAGGCTGGCAGGTTGGACCCCTGCCGCGGGTTCGTGCCGCTGGTGCTCCACACCCGTGCTGGCAATTTGGTGCTGATCTCAGCCTACCTCCAGCCCGGCCTGGGGGTGAAGGGCTGGAACAACGAGGTGCTCGTGGCGCTGGGCTCCTTCGTCCGCTCCTTGGCGGACCCCTTCTTGATCATGGCTGATTGGAATATCGAGCCAGGGCCCTTTGTGCAATCGGGCTGGCCTGAACGCTTGGGCACTCGGGTGGTCACTCCGACGTGTCTCACTACATGCGATAAGGGTCCTGGCAGAATGTACGACTATGGTTTGGTGGGTCGTGGCTTTCCTGAAGTGACTTTGAGCCCTGATCTTTCGGTGCCGTGGAAGACTCACTGCGGGGTGCACATCTCGGTGAAGGCAGCACGCACCCAGCGCTGGTACCGTCAGCTCGTGCTGCCGCAGCCGCTGCCGTCTCGAGAGAGGCCTCGTGCGGTCGCTGATCCAGACAGCAAGACGTCGAAGCGTAAGGCTGCCGCTCGTGAACGCAAGTTGCAGCAACTTCCGACAGAGATGCAGGACTTGTTCGACGATTTCTTTGGGCCCATGGAGGGGCCCGATGGCATGACGTCCTTTGGGGGCCCCCAGAGCACGCACTGCTCGCCACCCATGCCCGCTGGGCCAACGGGGGTTGAGGGTACCGACTCTGGGGGCAGTCGACCTGATGTCGCCAGCGATGTGGCTTTTGCGATTTCTGATGAGACCTGGGACGAGGCCACGACTCAGATCTACTGGGAAGGCGTTCCTGAACCGCATGGCCAGGTCCCTGCTGGATTTCTGGGTCATCATGCTCCTTACGACCCCGCACGACACTTCGGTTTCCGCTGGCAAGTTGAGGGCCGTGCGCGGGTCGATGTTTTGCACAACCATTGGGTCACGGTCATGGAGAGGGCTGTGCTCCTGCATGAGAAGGTTGACTCTGACAAGTGGAAGCAGTACTCAGGCCGAGCTCGTGGCCCTGCCTGTTGCTGGAAGTTGGTACGTTCGACTCCTGGACGTGCTCACATGCGCAATGAGCAGGCTGAGTGGTGGGGCCTTGTCAGCACGCTGGTCACGCGCTACGTGGCCTTGGTGAGGAACGATTCTGACCCGCACCAGGCGGCCCAGTGCGTCGTGAAGGCTCGGCACCTGATCGAGCAGCTGGACGGCAAGTCTGATGAGCTGTTCTTTGGCAAGAAGCAGGACCCTCAGGAGGCCTTCGTCTGGAAGAGCATGGTGCACAGCCTGGACCTGGTCGACGCTTCTTCCTTACCTGAGTTACTGGAGAGAACTCGCAGGTGGGCTGATCTGTCAAATGCTCGGGCCATGATGGCCTCCAGGTCCGCCTTTATGAAATGGGTCCAAGAGATGTGGTCGGCAAAACCTGGGGCCGTGCACAGACACGTGAAACCAACTGAGGCCCCAGTTTGGGAAAGTAAGGACTCCTGGGGCACTGTCACTTCTGACAACCAGGCAATGCTGCAAGGTCTGGCGAAGGAGTGGCAGACGATGTGGACCGACCCAGTCGACTCGCCCGAGGACGTTCTGGCGATGATGCAGAAGTGTTTGGACGCTGCCAGGGAGGACCCTCTGCCCACCATCACTCTGCTGGACCTGGATGCCGTGCTGCCGAAGATCCCTGCAAAGAAGGCCAAGGGCGTTGATGCTCTGAGCCCCTTGGACATTCAACGGCAACCTGATGCAGCTCGTCAGGCCTTCGTGGACACCTTGAACGCGATCGAGGCAGCAGGGGTATGGCCTTCCAGCCTCAGCAGTGTCCTCGGTGCGGCCATCCCGAAGGAGGCGGGGGGCTGCCGTGTGCTGGGGCTGGTTCCCATGCCGCAGAAGGTGTGGTCCAAGATCCGCTCTCGTGCTTCGGGGGAGTGGTCTGCGTCGCTTTCTGCTTTCTGGGATACAGCTATTGCTGGATCGTCCGCTTTACGGGCGGCGCTGATTCGTGCTGTGATGGACGAGGGGGCCCATGAGCTGGCCTTTGAGCATGCGACGCTTTTCTTAGATTTGACTAAGTTCTACGACTCGGTGAGTTTTGTATTGCTCATGCAGGCCGGCCTGCAGATTGGATTCCCGCCGATTATTTTGCTGCTGGAGATAGGCCTTTACTCCTTTCCGCGCCTTTTGAAGAAGGGCCAGATGATCACGGAGGCGGTGGAGGTCACCAGGTCGATCGTCGCGGGGTCTGGGCTCGGAGTACCTCTGGCTAAAGTGATGTTGCATCGGCTGTTGGATACCGTCCATCGTGAGGTCCCTCCTGCTGGCCTGTGGAGCTATATAGACGACATGGTTGGCCGCGCAGAGGGCGCCAAGCAGAAGGTCATCCGTGACCTCGAGGCGACGGCCGATGTCATGGCAGGCGGCCTTCGTGTGCTCCGTCTTCAGATCTCCACCAAGACGAAGCTGGTGGCGAGCTCGGACGACCTTGGCGCGGAGCTGGAGAAGCGGCTGCGCCGCAAGGGCATCCCTGTGGAGTTCGTGCGTGCCACGGTGGACTTGGGCTCCGACGCTGCCGCAGCCAGGGCGAGGGCCTCTGCCAGGATGATGAAGCGCCGCGCCCAGGCAAGACGTAGGCAACGTAAAGTGATGAAGGTCAGGCGCCTGGCGAAGCTTCGCTTTGTGACGAAGAAGCTCTGGTCGACGGGCGTGTGCCCTGCGTCCGTCTTTGGTCATCAGCTGATGGGAACCCCTCCTACTACGCTGTTGGCCATGCGACGCGATGCAGCTGCAGCAGTGGCTGGAACGAAGCGGGGACGGTGCCTGACCACCGTGCTGCAGGCGATCTATGGCACTTCTGAGCCTGGAGTCGATTTACGCCGCCAGCTGCTTCGTGAATGGGTGGCCTTGTGGTTGTCACAGCCTGGCCTTCATCCACGGATCTGCAAGGTATGGCCCATCGTGTTGGCGAAACTCAAGCGAGGCAAGGCCGTCTGTTGGAAGGATGTTCGTGGCCCGATAGCTGCACTGCAAGCGACTTTGCTGCAAGTTGGTTGGGATCCCCAGTCGCCTTTGGTGTGGTCTCGCCCCTTAGCAGACGGCACGATTGATGATTGGATTTTCCCTTCATTTGGTGACGAGCAGTTCGGCACGGCGGTGCTGGCCCACTTTGATGACATGCTGGGCGCCTTCATGGATGATTGTGTTGCGCAGCAGTGGCAGTCAGCTTCTCAGCATGCGGCTGGCGACGATCTGGTGGACGGCGCCGACCTGACGACTGTGACCATCGAGCTGAACCGCTTCGCCAAGCGGATGCAGTTCGACGAGTGGTCGGCGGATGTCGCCGTGGTGAGCGGCGGCCAGTGGACTCGGGATAGGCAGATTGCCGCAGGTTATGCCTGCCCGCTGCTGTGCCCCCGTTGTAAAGAAAAGCCTGAGACTTTAGCGCACCGTATTTGGACGTGCCCAGCTAACTGCGGGCACGAAGATTTTGCAAAGACTGATTTTCTGGTCCCCCAAGCCCTCGCGAGCCTGGACGCGCAGCCCGCGCTATGGCTTCGCGGAGTGCCCCCGAAGGACCTTGTGGTGCCCAAGTTTGTGGAGAGCTCTGAGGCGGCCCAAAAGGTCCTTCTTGGGGAGGGGGCGTTTCTTGATCACTGTGTGGCCCCTGGAGCTCCCCCCCTTTACATTTTTGGGGACGGTTCTGGAGGCGAGCACAGTTCGGATCCCCGTCGGAGGCGATGCGGCTCGGCTATCGTCGTTATGTGTCAGGATGCCTCGTCGCCTTTCTGGAGCCCGGCTTGCGGGGTTGCTCAGATTCTCTCGGGTAGGAAGCAAACTGTTCCGCGTGCTGAGCTGCAGGCTTTCTGTCTCGCCCTTGAGAGCTCGAGGGGGCCGATCTGCTACGTGACCGACTGTAAGAGTTTGACTGCTGACTGGCACAACGGCCGTGCCAAGTTTCCTCGGGGCCTTAACGGGAACCTTTGGGTCCGTATCGGCACCGCTTTGAGGACCCGCGGCCCTGGGGAGGTCTCTGTTTTGTGGACCCCCTCCCATAGGGAGGACGAGTTACAGTTGGTCAAGACTGAATTCGATTTGTTCCTGAGCCTGGGCAACGCCTGTGCCGACGCCTGGGCTGGAGCCGCGGCCCAATGGGCCTGGGAGTGGTGTGTGACGACCCCTGCCCCCCGTACCGACCTGTGGGATACGACGGCGGCACTGGTGAGGCTCAGAGCTCGGAGGGCTCTGCTGATGGCGCTCGAGGTTGAACCTTGGGTTGGCGAGAGACCTGCCCGCGAGCGTCAGCAGCGTAGGCCAACCCGTTTGGAGACGGCCCTGGCCAGGAGCTCCCATGTCTTCGTGCCCTTTGCGGGGCGCTGGAGGTGTAAGTTGTGCAAGGATATTATCCCGCGTAGTAAGCTTTTCCAGGTCGCCTCGACCCAATGTGTTGGTCAGTCCCTCGCCCCGCAGCTGGACGCGGCTGAAAACACTGGCCTGCCTGCGGAGTATGGTGAGGGTTTCGAGGCGGCCTCAGGCGAAGTGCGAGTTGGTGGAGTTTTGTTGCACCCCAGCCACCAGCTCGCCAAGATGAAAGCATATGGTCTGTTCTTCTGTATGACTTGTGGTCGCACGGCCACTGCTGATGCTAGGCATTTGTCTGGTGTGTGCTCCCCCCCCACCCGCAAAGGAGGGGAGAATTTGCGCAGAATTCAGAAAGGTTTGTTTCCGAGCTATCGTGGCCCACCAGTGTCTGTGATGGCTGCCCAGACAGAAGACGCTGTGCGATGTTCCCTCCCCGCCTGCGGGCCCCTGGTGGAAGGCTCACCTGCTCGTGGCTCGGAGTTAGAGGGGAGGGATTCTGATCATGATCTGTTAGATGAATACCTGAGAGTGGCGTCGAGACGCCACCCGAGCGACACGGCGGCCACCATGCGCTACGATGAGGCGCCCCGTGCTGCTGCCGCTGGCCCGTCTGCTGCCGCCGCTGCCTTGAGGGAGGTGGCTGCGAGGCCTCGAGAGTCGTGCTCGTGCGGCAGCGGAGGCCCTGGGCAGCAGCGTGGCGGAGCGTCAGCGGTGGATGATGACAGTGATTGATCGGCCGCTTTGCGGCGCTCAGCAGAGTCCAGCAGAGTCCTCCTCCTCTTCTCTCCTCTCCTCTCCTCTCCTCTCCTCTCCTCTCGTCTTGTTCCTCCTCCTCCTCCTCCTCCTCCTCCTCCTCCTCCTCCTCCTCCTCCTCCTCCTCTCCCCTCTCCTCCTCCTCCTCTCCTCCTCCTCCTCCTCCTCCTCCTCCTCCTCCTCTCCTCCTCCTCCTCCTCCTCCTCCCCTCCTTCTCCTCATCCTCCTCCTCCTTCTCCTTCTCCTTCCTCCTCCTCCTCCTCCTCCTCCTCTTTCCTCCTCCTCCTCTCCTTCATTCCTTCTCCTCCTCCTCCTTCTCCTCCTCCTCATGATCCTCCTCCTCCTTTTCCTCCTTCCCTCCTCATCCTCCTTCTCGTCCTCCCTCTCCTCCTCCTCCTCCGCCTCCTCTTCCCCCTTCCCACCTCCTCCTCCTCCTCCTCCTCGGCCTCGGCCTCCGCCTCCGCCTCCGCCTCCTCCTCCTCCTCCTCCTCCTCCTCCTTCTCCTTCTCCTTGTCCTCCTCCTCTCCTCCTTCGCCTCTCCTCCTCCTCCTCCTCCTCCTCCTCTTCCTCCGCTCCCCTTCCTACTCCTCGTCCTCTTCTACCTCCTCCCTCCTCCTCCTCCTCCTCCTCCTCCTCCTCCTCCTCCTCCTCCTATTCCTCCTCCTCGTCGACCTCGTTCCTTCTCCTCCTCCTCCTCCTCCTCCTGCTTCTCCCTTCTCCTCCTCCTCATCCGTCGTAGAAGAATCACGACGGGAAACTGCTGGCCATCTTCGGGCTCTGGAGGCCTTCGGTGAGCCCCAGAGCCTTCAACAAAACGATTCGGGATGAAGAATGGGTCCCCAAAACCGCGCAGCAAATGTCACTCTTGCCCAGGGTCATCCTTTGCGTGTAGCCGTGCTGGGACCCTTCGATTAGCTCGAGTCTGCAAATCTCCGGCTCATCCCCGCTGGGGCGCCGATGCGTCCCCATGGCCCAGATTTCCTTAGGGTAAGCATCGAGCTAACCAAAATGCAGCGTTGGGGCTCAAGAGACGGGGTCAATGCAAACGGGCGTCAGCTAGAGCGCTGGGGTCTTGGCAGGATCCAGCAGAGCCAGGGATGCACTGGCCTGGGCTTGCGCGCAAGATCCTGCAGGACTCCCGATCTCGGCGATGGTGGTAATATCCAGGCTCTCTAAGTGGCCGAACTATTACCACCAACCCCAAAATCTAGGATCGTCCTACCCCTGTGGAGGCGGCCTCCTGTGTTGGTGTTGGTGTCCGTTTCCAGGCCTCCAACAGCCGGGGCAGCGGGGGCAGCTGCGGCGGGTTGCGGCGGTGCTGGATATAGAACACAACGCTCGTGGCGGCGGGGCCGCGCTGGGGACTGCCTCGGGGGGGAGGGGGGCGGGGCTGGCCGGCGCCGCGAACCCCGAGGCACCGCGCCGGGGGGCGCGAGCGGCCCCGGCACGCAGGACAGGTTGCACAAGCAGAAGCCTTCGGAGCTCCGCGCGGGTTTCCTGGATCGGCCTCGGGGCCCATTTTCCACCACCACTACCATAGGTAGGAGAGGGAGGAGGAGAGGGAGGAGGAGGAGGAGGACCATCACATGCTGAAAAGGAAGGCTAGGGTTAATTAGGCCGACCCGACCCTAACCGAAACCTTGGGATTACATCCGCTCTCCCCTTACGCCCTTTTTCGACCCTACATCGCCGCCCCTTCCTTGAGGAGCTGGGCTGCAGGGAAGGGCTGGGAAAGTCGGGGGCGGGCCTTCATACTGTCCTTCGGATGACGGCCGCCTGCCACCCGAGACCACGCACCTTCAGAGAACTTGCTTCTGAAGCGCTCACTGCAGGAGGAGGAGGAGAAGGAGGAGGAGGAGGAGAAGGAGGGAATTTCCTCATTATGTTTGATTTGTCGTCCAAAGTCCGCCTGTAGAGGGACATGCCCGACCTATGTGCACCTCGCATCCTCGTGATCTGGGTTGACTGCGCTTTGCGGCTGGCCGGGCATTGTGGCAGGGCCCTGGCCGCCCCGGGTGTCCGGGCGGACCTGCAGGCCAGCGCGTCCCCGGAGGGGGCCCGCACGGCGCCGCGCTGGCTGGACGAACAACAATCTTCACCGCAGACCAAACCTCAAGCAGTGGCGAAGCGTCCTGGCTCGCCTAGAGGCCCACAAAAAATCATTTAATAACCTTTTGTGGTCTGCACGAAATGTTCATAGAACGTCTCTGGCTGGGACTGCCGTGTTTTCACATATTTTGTTTATGTCTTAAGAATCCTTTTTTGTTATTACAGCATTTTTGGGTTCTAAGAAAATTTCGTGGTAGGCCTATAGGAATGTTGGGACGGTCGGGCCCTGGTCAACAACCACTCCAACCCAACCCGAAGGCCCCCACGTGCCCTCCATTTCCAGCGTGGGGAGGTCGGGGAGCATGGACAACAACACATATGAAGGTCGTAATTACCCCCCAAAAAAAACTCGAGCGTCGGGTCTGGTTCGGGTCTTCGGGTCGGGTTGGGACGGTCTGGTTGGTAGTCAAATCTGCCTAAACACCATGTCGCGGAGGTCCGCGCAAGACGTTGGGTGCGCCTGAGAACAATGCAGCCGTGGGTCATATGATAGTCCATGATGTGTGTTCACCAGTTGCAATTCTCGGACGGGGCTAGGACAAGGAGAAATCCATTTCAGAGCGTTCCGGAACGCTCTCAGAGCGTTCCTGAACGCTCTGAGAAGGCCGCGGCGCCCGATAATCATTACATCCAGGAGATCCGCCAGACCTGAGAGAGTTTCGATTTTTCCGCATCCAAATTTGTCTTCGTCTTGGCCTCGTCTTATCTGGTTAGCAATGTCCTGCTGCATAGGGCCCTTTGACTGCCGTCTGCGCCGCCGGCGGAGGGGCGAAGCTTTTTTCTTCGGTACGCTCGCTCTGCACCGTTGGCGCAGCCATGAGGGAGGATGTCGGGGGCGTCCAAGGAGAGGGGAGGAAGAGGAGGAGGAGGAGGACGAGGAGGAGGAAGAGGACGAGGAGGAGGAGGAGGAGGAAAAGGAGGAGGAGTGAGAGTAGGACTAGGAGGAGGAGTAGGAGGAGAGGAGGAGGAGGATGAGGAGGAGGAGGAGGAAGAGGAGGAGAGCAGGACCAGGAGGAGGAGGAGGAGGAGGAGGAGGAGGAGGAGGAGGAGTAGGAGGAGGTGGAGGAGGAGGAGAAGGAGGAGGAGGAGGAGGAGGAGGAGGAAAGGGGGGGTACTTATTGCCTGGGCTGTGGTCGGCGGCGAGCGAGGGGGGAGGCGAGACGGAGAAGGCCTTCTCAGAAGGCGGCGGGATTTCCTAGAGACCCTCGCGGTTTCTGAGCAGGCTTCTGTGTCTTCGGGGGAGGCTCAGGACACTTCCCAGAAAGCCGGGGTACTTCCGAGCCTTCTGGGAAGGCCTCCTCCTTCTGTGGAGGACGATCAATGGAGAGGAAGCGTGTTGCCAAATATTTTCCATATGTCTGAAACATACATGTTACATAAAAGCATGTAAAACATAATGTGAGAAACCATGTTATTGAATGTTTGAACAGTTTTGACGCATTTGTTATTCAAGGATCGGATTGTTAGGGTATCCAGAATCCTCCTTCTTACTTCCCCCCCGGCTCGCCGCCGACATGGAACTCCTCCCAGACATGATGTCACTGCCCCAGCTTCCTCCTGCAACGCGTCTCCTGGCCCCGCCGGGGCCGCGCACGCGCTTCGGGCCATGACTTGCGAAACCCCTGCGAAACTTGCGGAAGGCTGAAGTCGGGAATGTCCATCGACAGAAGGAAAACTCAAACATAAGTTTAAAAAGTTTGGGAACGATGTCTCTATCAGTTGTTTGATCAGTGTTGCTTATTTGTTGTATATTTTTTATTTCCCCTCCAAAATCTGCCTGTAGGGGGACATGCCCGACCTAACAGAAGGCTCGGGCCGGACGAACGGGTAGGATGGGGAAAGGGGTGGGTGGGACATCTGCTGCATGTGGCTGGTTTCTGCCCCGCCGTCGGGCCCACTCTTCGACATATGGTCGCTCCCCGGCGCCAGGAGGCGCCCGGAAGTCCAGCTACGTGGAGCTGGTTCTCTACCCTGCCTTGTGTTTTTCTGCCTTTTCGGCCCCCCCGAAAGGCCAGCGGAGGCTATCGGGAGGCCCAAGACACACCCCTCGCACGCTTCGTGGCCCCGTAGGGGTAGGGGGCTCCACTGAAGGCCCAGCGCTACCTTCACATGCGTCCCCCGCACCGATTTCGACATCCCGCACCACATTTTTCGTGGCCCCGTAGGTAGCTCCACCAAAGGCCCCAGTACCACCGTCCGCGTGCGTCAGCCGCACACATCTCGGCGCACACCCCTTCACAGGGTTCGCGGACACATAGGGAGCGCCACCGAAAAAGATATTCACATTTGCGGTATTAGCAACTGCATCTGGTTGGGTCTTTCGCCAGGTTGTTTGTTCTTTTTCCGTGTATGTCTCTCTCTCTCTCTCTCCATATCTCTCTCTTATTTCTATAAATATATATGTATGTATATATATGTATAACTTTAATTGTTGTTTTGTTCCTCTCTCTCCCTCTTTCTCTTTCTTTATGTCTCTCTCTCTCTCTCTTTTGTTCTCTCTCTCTCTCTCTCCACCCCCCCTTCCTTCCTCGTTTTCCTGATTCCTCCTCCACATCATCGCCGTTCGCCCCTGCGTCAACATCTACACACATGTTGTTTCTGCAACCGCTCGAGCGTGCATCTGCGGGGGCGGTGTCCCCCGGGAGTCATCATATTTGTTTGTGCGCTTATCGATGTGTGCATATGTATCTAGACACTCATTCGTATGTATGTGTATATACATATGTGTATGTGAGTATATGTTTCCCTACCTAGGCTCTGCCTAGAGGGTTCTTACTCTCTTAGCTTAAAGGCGCCGGGCAGTGTTCCCCGCCCCGGGCGGTTCCCCCGGTCCCAGCCCCGCGGTTCCCCCAGTCCCCTGGGAGCTTTAGTTTTAGCTTTAGCTTTAGCTTAGCTTTAGCTTAGCTTTAGCTTAGCTTTAGCTTAGCTTTAGCTTAGCCAGTTTAGCTTTACCTTAGCTTTAGCTTAGCTTCGGCTTAGCTTTAGCTTAGCTTTACCTTAGCTTTACCTTAGCTTTAGCTCAGCTTTAGTTTAGCGTTAGCTTAGTTTTAGCTTAGTTTTAATTTAACTTCAGCTTAACTTTAACTAAGTTGTAGCTTAGCTTTAGCTTAGCTTTAGCTTAGCTTTAGCTTAGCTTTAGCTTAGCTTTAGCTTAGCTTTAGCTTAGCTTAGCTTCAGCTTAATTGTGGCTTAGCTTCAGCTTAGTTTTAGCTTAGCTTTAGCTTTTCTTTAGCTTAGCTCTACTGTTACTACGAATGCTGCTTTCCTAGGGGCTCCAACTCCTAGGTAGGGTCGCACTGGGATAGCTTATCTCTATATATATGCATACACACATTTATTCGCATACATAGATGTCGATTGTACGGGTGGGTGCGTACACGATTATATTCATAAGCGTGAACACGCATGTACATATTACATATACACACGCATATATGTATATAGATATATATGTGTATGCATACATACGGGTGCACGTAAATGTATGTATCTATGTGTGTATGCGTATAGATACAGCACATGCGTATATTCATATCGATACCCATATCTTCATCAATACAACCAACCAGCTCCCCAGAAATCGTTGAGGCCCCTCGCCGGCCGCAGCAGAGGAAGGGGGGGGCTCGGAGGGGCGATGGCGGGCCGCCCGGCGGGTGGGCGGCAGGCAGAGCGGTTGCTGCGCACCTCCGAGGCAGCGCGGCCGCTGTTCCCGTTTGGTGGGGGAGAACTGGGTGTCGGTGTTCGATCGGGCGATCGCAAACATAGGTCAAGGGGGCGTGGATTGGCGACGGGTCCCGTTTCCACGGGAAATCGCGGATTTCTGCCGCCGAGCGAGGCGGCACCGCCCGCATTTTGGGGAGGGCACCTCCCCTGATCCATGGATTTGGCGACCGCGCGTCAAACCCATAGATCGCTAATCCATGTTTGCGCCCCCCCGGTTTGGGGGAGAACTCTAGGCCTCCTAGATGGGGTCCGAGTAGATGGGGTCGGAGGATGGCGCTGCATCGCCGATGCATCGTCGATGCTGCTCGATGTGGAGCCCGATTTGCTTCACGCGGACGTCCCCGATGCATCGCCCACGTGGACGATGCATCGCCGGTGCATCACCGATGCATCACCGATGTATCGGCGATGCGGCCCGATCCTCCGACCTTTGTTCCGACCACATCTAGGAGGCCTCTAAGAACTAGGTGTCGGCGTTCGAAGAAGGAAAAGAGCCATCAACATAGAAACTGTTGGCGTTCCGCGCGGATTTCTTGCATCCACGCTGGCCCCCCCCCGACGGCGCCTCCAGCGCCGCCCCTGGCGCGCCAAGCGCGCCAGGAAGGGGGTCCAGCGCAGATGCAAAAGGTCCGCGCGGAACGCCAAAACAAATTCAGTATGGCGTTTTTTTTTTTTCCTTATTCCAGATGTCGAAGACGCCTACGGCGAATCACCGCCGCCCCCTCTCTTTTGGGATGCGCCTACGAGGCCAAGCGTCTGGGCAAAGCCTGGCCACGCTGTTGGACCATGCGTTCCCCCCTCCGTGATGGAAGCTCTTCGTGGAACGCGCGAAGGAGGAAGAGGATGAGGTGGAGGAGGAGGAGGAGGAGGAGGAGGAGAAGGAGGGGAGGGAAGAATCGTGAGAAAAAGGGGAGAAGGAGGAGGAGGCCTCTTGGGAGCCTCTGGGGCCACTCTTGGGGCCTCCTAGGAGCCTCTCTGGGAGCCTTTTGCAGGTCTCTTGGGGGCCTCCTTGGGCCTCTTGGGGATGTTTGGGGGTTTCGTTGGGGCCTCTTTGGCTTTCTTGCGGCGTTCCTCGCGTCTGACGCCATCAGAACCTGTTTTGGATGGCTCTCTGAACCGACTTGGGGTCTTGTTGGGGCGCTTCAGGGCCGTCTTGGAGGCCATCATGGGCGTCTTGGGGCCCAGTCTTGGGGCCTGTTGGGCCGTCTTGGCGCCCTCTTGGAACCGTCATTGGAGGCTTCTTGGGCCGTCATCGGATCTTTTTGGAAGCCTGTGGGGTCATCTTGGGGCGATCTTGGGTCCCTCTGAGGCCGTCTCAGGCCGTCGGAATACCAAATGCCAGATTCCTGGTAACACTTAAGGTAAATCAGTGATGTTGGCCTATTCTGGTCTTCCTTGAGGACCGCAAAATATGCAGGGCGACAGATTCAGACTTTTTGCGGCGCCTCACCTTCCAACCAGGAAGCGCGCGACCAGCCACAGACGCGCGCGGTCGTGCACGAGGCCGGCCCAGACATGAATGGGCCAAGTGTTTATATAAAGCCGTCGCTCCGCACTTCACGTCTGAAACAGCAATAATGCAATGTGTCAGCTAACCAGCAGCGTGGCATCAATTTGTCATTGATTTTGTGTTTGTCCCTCCCCCTTCCCTCCCCCTTCCTCCTCCTCCTCCCCCTCCTCCTCTTCCCCCTGCAGCGCAAGAGGTGCATTAGAGAGTAAGTATGCCGCCTTCCCCACAAAGCGGTGAGAAGAGGCTGGCAGTTTTCACCTTCGCCCACGCGCTCCGGCGCATGGCTTGTCTTGGCTCTTGAGTCTTGAGGACCGCTTGGAGGCCTCTTGGGCCATCTTCGGGGCCAGCTGGGCGCTTTGGGGCCGTCCTGGGCTCTATTGGGCCATCTTGGCGGTCTTGGAGGCAATTCAGGACCGTCTTGCAGTCCATCTTGGGGCTATATTTGGCTGTCTTGGGACCATCGTGACCGTCTTGTCTTGGAGGCATATTGGCCGTCTCGCAGGTTACCTTACGGCCGTGCTAGGCGAAGAAACCGACGAGACACGCACCCTGGCGCATTGGGCCGAAACCTCAGGGGGAGTTCAAAACAATAGAAAAACCATCAGACATTTAGCGCGGCACCCCTGTGCAAGACAGCAGGGGGCGGCGGATCGAAAGGGCTGCGGCCCATCTCGCCACCGTGCCTGGGTTGTGGAGAATAGCCCTCTAGGATGTTCGTTGGGATGTCGCGGGGGGCCTCTCGGAGGCTTCTTTGGGGCCGTTTTCGGGCGTCAGTCTCGTCTCACCGACCACGATCCCCATCCCCACTCCTCATCCCGAGCTCGACGATCTCAGGACCCCAGTGGGGGATGCACCCGTCGAAGCCCGAAGGGAACAGCGTATATCCCCATCTGGGGAGGTAGACTTGGCCAATGGGGCCAAGGCCACGCCAGTGGGGATAGGGATTGGTTGAAGGATGCTCTGGATGTCAGAGTTCCCAGAGTTGCAGAGAGTGTCACCATGATTCGTTCCAGGACTTCCAGGATCTATGACATTCTCAAATCAACCTCCTCTTGTTCTGCACGGGCTCAAAAAACAAGGGCCGCGCTCCGGAATTCCTGGAATGTATCTTGAGCCAGTCGCATCATGGTATCATTCTCGTCTTGGGGTGGGCGGGGGAGGGGAGGGGAGGGGAGGGACAAGTCGGCAGGGAGGAGCGGGGTTGCAAGGGAGAGAGCGATGGGACGGGGGGTTGTGCCGGAGGTACTTTGGGGAGAAGGGCAGGATTGGGAGAGAAGAGTCCAGCAGTGAAGGAGGCACGGAGGGGCAAGAGTGGGGGGAGGTCTGTGGGGGCGCGTGCGTGGGAGGCAAGATGTGTGAGCACGCGTGCTGTTGGAAGTGTAGCCCGTCAAGCTCAGTGACTCCTACCTGGTCCCGTTCTGTTCCCTCACTGCCGCGGCGCGGCGGGAGATAACCCCAGGCAACCTCGCGCATATGCCGCCGATGCTCACAGTAGTCAGAAAAACCCTGTTTCCTTTTCTGGTATCACGATGGCGGGATCACCGCCAGCAACACCATCACCACAACCACCGCTAGCAGCAGCAGCAGCAGCAGCAGCAGCAGCAGCAGCAGCAGCAGCTGGAGGAGGAGAAGGAGGAGGAAGAGGAGGATGAGGAGGAAGAGGTGGAGAAGGAGGAGGAGGAGGAGGAGGAGCGGAGGAGGAGGAGGAGGAGGAGGAAGGAAGAGGAGGAGGAGGAGGAGGAGGAGGGTGAGGAGGAGGAGGAGGAGGAGGAGGAGGAGGAGGAGGAGGAGGAGAAGGAGAAGGAGGAGGAGAAGGAGGATGATGATGATGAGGAGGAGGACGACGACGACGAGGGGGAATCGTCGTCGTCGTCGTCGTCGTCGGAGGAGGAGGAGGAGGACCCTAAACCCTAAACCCTCGAGACGAAAAACACAACGTATTGAGCAAGCTCGAATGGTGCCATTGCGAAAGACAGTGAAACGATCCCATGCCGAACGATGTAAACGAGCCCGGCGCAAGCTTGCGCGAGCGCCTGATGGGCGCGCCGAAGCATATCCGACGCTCCGAGCGAGCCGGCGCGAGCGGAAGCGGTTCCGGAACGGCACGACAGGCATTCCGTGCGAACTGGCACGAGCGGGAGCAGCTCCGGAGCGGCCCGACAAGCATCCCGTGCGAGCCGGCACGAGCAGGAGCGGCTCTGGAGCGGCCCGACAAGCATTCCGTGTGAGCCTGCGCGAGCGGGCGCAGCTCTGGAGCAGCCCGGCAAGCATTCCGTGCGAGCCTGCACGAGCGGAAGCGCCTTCGGGGTGGCCCGACAAGCGTTCCGCGCAAGCCGTCGCGACGCGAATCCGACGTGTTTTACAAGTGATCGCGGCATCGGCAGGCCCGAAATCTTGCCGTCGCGACGCGAATCCCACGTGTTTTACGAGGAATCGTAGCCAAACCGACTGGCGGGAAGCAGTTGAATTGTGTAAACCCTAAACCGTCACCCCAATGGCGGGGCTTGTGGCGCGCCGCCCGACCCGAAGGGCAGACACGTGCGGGCCTGCCCGGTCGGCGGCTGGCTCGTCCGCCGGCACGACGCGGGATGCGCGGCGCTCGCGGAGTGGTGCGAGGCGCAGGACTGCTCGGTGCACCGCGAGGTGCTGCTCCCGCACGCCTCTCCGCAGAGCCCCGAGGCGCGCATGGACCTAGTGATCCACGCGCCCGGCGCCGCTGGACCGCTTTTGGTCGACCTCACGGTTGTCGGCGCGGTTTCCCAGGACGCCTTGGCGCTCGGGGCTGCGAGGAGGGACGGGGCTGCCGCAGCAGCAGCGGAAAGAAGGAAGCGAGCTCGCTATCCTCTGGTGCCCGTGCTGCCCTTCGTAGTGGAGGACCACGGGCGGCTGGGGGAGGAAGCGGCGGCCCTCGCCTGCTGACGACGCGGGGCGTTCGGCGGCCATCCGCGAGCTCCAGCAGGCCCTTGGCTGCGTGCTGCAGCGGCACGCTGCGGGCGCGGTGCTGGCCGCCACCCAGGCCAGGCCCTGGCGGGCGGCCGCCGCGCTCCGGGCGGCGCCCAGCGGGCGGCCAGAGGGCGCCGCGGCGCTAGGCGGAGGAGGGGGAGACTGAGGGCAGAGGCGGCGCCAAGGCGACTGGAGGCGGCGGAGGCGGCGCTGGCGCTGCAGGGCGGCGCACCCGGCTGCGGCTGGGATCTGGGGGGCTGTAGGGGGCCTGCGGGGCGGCTGGGCTGCGGGCGCGCGCGGGCAAGGCCGGGGGCGCCGCTGCGAGCTGGAGGAGGCTCGCGGACCGGCAGGGCAGCGGGCGAGCGGCGGAGGGACGCGACGCGCTGAACTGGGGGTTCACCAGACGGCTGGCAGCAGGCGCGCGGGCATCGGCGACGTGCCGGCGCTGCCGGCGTGGAGACACTCGGGCCCCGCATCAAGCCGCGTCGGCGACTCATCGGCGCGGCTCGATGCTCCGACACCAAATGATGGGACACCGCTTGGGGGGCCGGAAGCTCCTGGCCCGCCACAGGGCACCTCGGAGGCCCGCTCTCGCTGGAGGGGGACAAGCAGCAGGGCCATGGCCAGATTGAACGCGCAAGGTCGGTGCCGGTATCGGTCCTGTCCATTTTGCGATGGGCCGACTATGCGCCGCCACTACCATCGGTAGGGGGGGAGGAGAAGGAGGAGAAAGAGGAGGAGGAGGAGGAGGAGAACAAGGAGGAGGAGGAGGAGGAGGAGGAGGAGGACAAGGAGGAGGAGGAGGAGGAGGACAAGGAGGAGGATGATGATGATGATGAGGAGGAGGAGGAGGAGGAGGAGGAGGAAGAGGAGGAGGAGGAACAGCAGCAGCAGCAGCAGCAGCAGCAGATGCTGAGGGAACCGCAAAGGCACCGGCACCGGCACTCCCCAAACAAGCACCGATCCAGATTCCCAAGCGAATCCAGCCGCGGCGACGGGGGCCTCCCAGGAGGCCCGCGACGGCGACAACGCTGCGAAGGTAGCGATGCAAAACGCTCGGTGCCTTCCCCTCCGAGGTGCGTCGCCGCTGCTTCGGCAACGCTGCGCGATCCTCCGACCTCACCTGTTCGGATCACATCTCCAAACGCCTCTTCGGGCGGGGTTCGGATGACGATGGATCCGTTCCAGAGCGTTCCTCAACGCTCTGGGAGCTTACCAGAACGCTGTGAGAAGGCCGCAGTGCTCGAGACGTCCTCCCCGGCCGCCACAGCTTAGAGATTCTCGATGTTGTCCTGGCCCGATGTGTTTTCGTCTTGAATTCGTCCTACCTCTGCGAGCAGAGCCGGGCGCGCGGGGGGCTCTCTGGAGCGACAGGGGCGGCGGTGGTGCTAAGTCGGGCGTGTCCCTGTGCAGGATGCGCCAGCAATAATTATTAAAACATCGTGTGGGGACGGTTTTTTTTGATTACTTGCTTGTTTTGCGCATGTGTTTCATATGCTATCATTTGTCGTCCAAAATCCGCCTGTAGGGGGACATGCCCGACGTAGCGGTGTCGGGACGGTGCGCGCTGGCGGCGGAAGGCGACCAGGCTGCGGCAGGCGCTCGCCGACCTTGCCCTGAACATGAACGCCGCGCTCGGCGAGGAACGGCCCGGGCGGGCGCTGGCGCAGCGCGAACCGACGCGCAAGGCAGGCAGGACTCGACAGGAGGAAAAATGGAGAATTGTAAAAATCGACTGGACGTAGGAGAGACCTTTCGCCAGACTAACCTTTGGGCGCGGGCCCAAAAGGGCCACCCGATCTCCGAGCGCGAGGAGGTAACAGCGGTTTGCGCGGCCGGGTTTGGCCACCCCGCATCCCCCGTCAATCCGCACCAAAGGTGTTTTTTACCCAAGGTCGCTCTTACGTGTAGCCGGCAACATAGTATCTGGACGATGTTTCGACTATTTTGACTATTTTTGATCATCGTTGTTGACTATTTCCAAAATTTCTTCCAAATTCCGCCGATAGTAGGACATGCCCGACCTGAGTGTAGGCCTCCCAGATGGGGTCCGACTCAAGGTTTCGGAGGAGAAAAAGGCCCCCGTACAGCTATCCTTCGCTTGTTTTCCCACGAGCCCGGGGGGGAGGTGAGAAAGGGCGGGCCTTTTCAGAAGGCTCGGAAGTTCCCCAGCCTTCTGAGAAGTTTCCTGTGCCTTCCCCGAAGACACAGAAAATTCTGGGAAGGCCCGAGGGCTTCTGAGAAGTCCCGCCGCCTTCCGAGAAGGCCTTCTCCTTCTGACTTCCCCCCATCGCTCGCCGCCGATACTGGGATGCCCTCGTCGCCACCGCTGGACTCAACTCGAAGTGCTGGTCAGAACGCGCTCCGGGAGAGGTCCAGGAAGTAGCAGTATCGGTACCTGTTGGTTTCCCCAAGATGGGGTCGGAGGATCGCGCCGCATCACCGATGCACCCGCGATGCGGCTCGATAGCCGGATTTTCTCAGCGCGGACCTCGCCGATGCACCGCCGACGTCACCGAGGCATCGCCAGTGCGTCACCGATGCATGGCCGATGCATCGGCGATGCGGCGCGTTCCTCCGACCCCATCTACTCGGACTCCATCTGGGAGGTTTCTCACAGACAGTCAGGTAAATTTAGTACGTTTTGCCTGGACTGAAAGCGTGACTGAACTTAATTTGCCTGGACTGGAAGCTTGACTGAATCAACGCATAATTGGGGTCTGATCCTCAAGAAGGTGCCAGCGACGACGACAACGACGCCAGCGACGGCGAGATCCAGTGATCAGAACGCGAGACGGCCAAGACATCGGAACCCAGAGGAGCAGCTCAGTAAAGTTCTGGAAGGAGCCGCCTGAGAAAAGTTCTGGAGCGCGCCGCCTGAGCAAGTACAAGGGTACAGCGGTGCGACAGGATCCGTGTCAAACACGCTATTTTCTCACCGCTCGGATGATCCGAAAACCAATCGAATTCGCACAGGATCCGTCCAAGAAGTATCGGATCCGCATAGAATCTGTAGCGGATCCGCACCTGGATCGGATCCGTACCCGGATCCGACGCCCGTGGCGAGGTTGACATTCCCGAACGGGGACCTTTGTCAACGTCTGCGGGGACCCCTGCATTCGTTTTCAGGCGCCCGACGCTGCGCCAATAGCCCGCGACTTGCCGCCAAACCTCCCAGGCTGGCTGGACCGACGGCCCCTGGCCTGGCTGGGCCGACAGTCTGGTGCCTCTGGCGCCACTTGCAGCAGGACTCTGGCCTGGGACGTGCGGCCCCGGTGCAGTTTGCACGGAGGACTGTGGCCCTGCGGGCGCGAATTTGGCGTGATTTAGGACAGTTTCTGGCTTCGGGGGCGCGAATCAGGGACAGTGTGCGAGGATTTGGGCCTCGGGAGCGCGAAGCCACCGCAACTGGGATTCTAGCCTCGGGGATGCGAGTCTGGTCCGATTCAAGCCGGATTTTGGCATCGGGAGCGCGAAGCAAATATGATTTGCAAAGGATTCTGGCCCCGGGAGCGCGATTCTGGAGTAACGTCTACAGTTTCTTGGTTTCGAGATCGCGGACTTGGAGTAAATTTTAAAGGGGTCTGGTTTCGGTAACGCGAATCAAACGTGATATGCACGGGAAGATAGCCAGGGTGGCGTGAGTCTGGAGTGATTTGCAAGGGTTCTGGCTTCGGGAGCGCGACTTTGCTGTAACCGGCACGGAACACGTTTGGGGGGATGCGAAAATGCCCCAGGAGCGGGCGGTTTTCGGCCCCGCCACCCCTCGCGCGGATGAGTAATGATTTGCAATAGGAGGCAGGCAGCAAATTTGTAACACTGGAGACGGGAAAATGGAGACCGCGCTGGAACTGTGATCTGGACCGACGAGCTCAGGACTGGTATCCGTTGCTGAAGCCCGACCCTCGCTGCCTGGTGGCCCCGCAATGGGGCCGGCGGATTCATCATCCTGTTGCCCCGTTTTCTCCTCCTCTTCCTCATCCTCATCCGTATCGTGGCTGCTGCTGCGCGCCTGCCAGCACACTCCTCAAAGGGATCGTGCCCCGAGGGGGTGCCACCTACGGCACCAGTGAGATGGCGCCCGCATGCGGTCCTCACGCTCCTTTTGGCGCACCCCTCACAGACCGTGCTACATCAGGAGTTCCATCGTCAGTTGCCGCGGGAGCCTTTAGACCGGGGTCAATGCAAACGGGGGGTCAATGCAAACGGGGGTTAGAGCGCCGGATCTTGCAGGGCCTTGCAGAGCCAGGGATGCACTGACCCAGGTTTGGGTGCAGCATCCTGCAGGATTGCGCAGGACCTTGCAGGATCTTGCGAAGCTTGCCTGGTCCGGGTTTGGCTTGACCCAGGTCACCGTGCAAATTCCGGCACACCTGTCAGGCTTAATAAGCGCGCCCATGCCGGCTTACCCTTCACACAGAGCGTGTCGCATAGGGAGTTCCAAGTGCAGTTCAAGCCGGCGCTTTCGCATGCTGTCCGCTCGTTCATCTCGGCGTATCCTGTCCTTCGGGTCGTGCCACATACCCACAGCACAGCTTGGGACCCTCCTGTCAGTGCGAAGGGAGCTTGCGGACGGGCACGGGACTGAGGGGACAAGTGACGGCGACACGTTCACCATCCTTCGTATCTCCATTATATTAGTTATTGCTCAAGCTTTCACGGGCTCGCTCGCATGAGCCCCCCCCCACGGGTCCTAGGCTGCTGTGGCGGCAGCCGTGCTCCATTGCCTGCTGTCCGTAGGGCTCTGGGGGTCTTGCGCCCAAGCCGGCCTGCCCACGGCCGGTGTGCCTGGCTCCCTTCTGCCCAGCCATTGGGCCGGCAAAAGGACCGCTAGACCCAGGCCCGTCGGGAGTCTCTGCGGTTCTCGACTTGGGTGACGTGCCCGAGGAATTGGCCGAGGTCCGCTCGGCCGCTGTCCGCTTGGAGGAGCAGGTCGCGCTGGTGCAGACGGCGGTGGAGGCGGCCTGGAATCTCTGGCCAGTGGTCTGGGTGTTCGTGGGGGGCCTCGTTCGTGACGTGACTGGTCGCGTGTTCGGCTTCTGTAGCCGTCGGCACCATGTTGTCCAGAGTTCCGCCCGGGCCAGCGATTCGCCCTCTGGTACTAGGACGACACATGCTGGCATGAACGCGTCGCTCTGGCTCAAGTGCGGCCTGGAGTGTGGATCAACACCACTCCAGGTGGCGACAGGTATTCCGAGAATGTTCGGTGCCGCCGCGGCACTTCGGGCGCGGTGCAGGCTTTCTTGCCGGATTCCACGCGTGACGTGTTGGGCAAGATGCGTGGCCAGTTCTATCAGTGTCGTTCTGAGCTGGAGGCGGCCGAACTGGTGGAGCATATCAAACTTGCGGAGGCCGAGGCTTTCGACATTACCCCACGCCATCAGGAGGAGTCAGGAGCCGTCGTGCTCTGGGATGGCCGCCGCGTCGAGCACCGCGCGTTGATGGGCTGTGACGGCGACCAGCTAGTGCCTCTGGCGGCGGCCGCTGAGGGTGAGCCTTCGGCGGGAGCGGCTGGCGGCGCGGCACCGCATCGCCCGACGCTCGCCGAGGGCCCGTCGGACTTCATTTGGCTCATCATCGACCCTCTGCGCCCAGATTTCGGGCGCGAGCGGCATCCTGCCCCCAACGCAGAGGTTGCGGGCGACTACGCGATTGCCTCCGACTCCCGCCGGCGCTTTGTGCCGGTTAAGCGAGTTGCGGTGGCCGGCGCGATCTCTTTCCTCGACGTTGCTCGAATCGCGATCGCCAAGACCATCGAGGAGGAGAGCGCCTGCTGCCCCTGTTGACGGCGGCCTCGAAGGACGTCAGAGGGGGGCGCTCGACGGTGGCACGAGGGCACCTCCAGCAGTGGAGGACGCTTGCACATTGACGGTAAATTACGACGAGCACGGGGGGCGGTGCGTGGAGTGGCAGGCGGTGTGCGCGGAGATCTCAGTCAGCCATTTCGCGGACTTGGACAAGCGCCGCGATGGTCCCGCCACGACTCTGTCGCTGTTCGATAACATCCAGCGTCAGTGTGGTGACCCTCGGCTCTCCTACCAAATCTGGTGTCGGGAGGCGGGCGTCAGTCCTCAAGAGCGGACTGGCATCGAGATGAAGCTACTCCTGGACATCCTGTGCCTGGGCGGCTGCCGCGATCAGGCGAACGGCCCCTCGCGGCCCCTCATTGGCCTGCGTCGAGTCGGCCTCGAGGCGGGCCTGCCAGATCATCGAGGCGCACTCGACGGGCGTCCCTGGGCGCGCGAACTGGGAAAGGGCGAAGCACTTCGCGCCCGTCTCCACGGCGGCTTCCGCGGCGCCGCCCGAGCTCCGGTCGCGCGCCCATCGCCGGGCCGAGGAGGAGGCGCAGCTGGCCTGCAGCTGGCGGGCGGCACCGACGCCTCTCAGCCTGCAGGCGCCGCCAGTGCTGGAGGCGGTGGGGGCCGCGGCGCTGCCGAGGGCGACGAGGGTGCTGGGCGCGGGCAGTCTCGCCAGGGCGGGTGCGCCGACGGCGGGGGCAAGGTCCCGCTGAAGCCGGGGCGACAGGCCAGGCCCGCGCAAACGGCGGTCGATTCAGCGCTGGAGGCCCAGGCCGCGCGGCAGGCGACGATCGAGCGAGGCCCGTCGCCATGCTGCCTCTTTTCCCTGTCCCCATCTCGCCTGCGCTGG